GCGGGGTAATGAAAATAAATTTACTCTTTGTGTTTCTTCTGTGGTTTTGTGGTTGTTCCTGCATCCTGCTTGTGTGCAGAGCTCATATATGATCCTACACAGGAACAATCTTCCTTCACCCCGACTTTTGGCACATGCCTCGCTTTTTGTCATGCCCGGGGAAGCCCGTGTGGTTGATTTTGGGTTTCTGCACCAAGCTGCACGCCTGGAGCTGCACCAGGGATTCCCAAAGGCGCAGCAGTGGGAGGGGCTGGGAGAGCGCTGCCTCTGTTGCGTGCAAACAAGTGCAAAGCTAAACAAACGTTTTCTCCTCCCTTCCCTTCTTTTCATGTGCTTTGTTTGGTTCCTAGGGACTTTTGGGCTGCTCAAAACAACGCCCTGCCTAGCGTAGCATTTTCTTTTCTTCTTCCTGCTCACAAAGGTGAAACTGGTAACCCTCCGTCCTGCTGCTGCGCCACGTGTCCGTCTGGTATTGTGGTATCAGCAGTTTTTGCACTGATCCAAGAAGAAAGTCCTGTCTTGCTATTTTTTGGTCACAAATGCAGATAGCTCCCTCTTGATTTTTTTAATTTTATTTTATGTTTTATGATCACTCCAGGTGTATTGGGCCTGTGGGTAGGATGCATCTCCTTCAGCTCCTTCCCATGCCCAGGAAGCTTTTTGGGTATGAACCGGGTATTGCTCTGTACAGGGCAGGTTTTGACACTGGCAGAGGTACGGAATGGTCAAGGGATGAATTATTCCTTCAAAGGACAAGCACCAGTGACATCTGGGTGTGGGAATGGAGAAGGTGTGAGGCTATTTTATACAGTCATGCTCCTTAACAGATCTGGCTTGCTCTTGTCTTCTACGGTTCTTTCCAAGAGGAGGAGGGGGTGGGACCAGCTCGCAGGCAGTTTCATTTCTGGGTGGTGACGACAGGATGCTGATAGAAATCTCAGGAAGTTCCCGAGGGGAAGAAGAAGGACTCTCAGCCAAACGACAAAGAGGTAGTGAGCTTTAAGTGCACTTTCCTAATAAGAGCTGTGGAGTGAGAAAGCAGAATATTTGATTACAAAAGCAAATTACTGTAGCACAACAGTAGAACGTATAAACTTTGCTCCATGTGGAGAC